TTCGTGAATTCCTCAACAATAATGCCTGTACTTTAAAAAATAAAAACGCATGAATTTTGTTGGATTGTCAAATCACTTTAGTTTAAAAGCAGTTAATTAAGAGTAAACAATAGTAAAGGTCGTTACCCACTTAACTGCTTAATCTTGTGACAACCTGATGTAGCGTTCTTGCAGTTGTTTCCTGCCATTTCTCTCTTTGGTTTGATCAGTTTAGGCTACCTTGAAGAAGCTTACAAAGTGGATGGCAAGTTCTAGCTATTGCTGGTCTAGAATAGTGGTAAAAGCACTGCTGACCCTGCTTGTACAGTTGATTCTAATTACGATTTATCACCCCATAATCTCCTGATCGCACATAACCCCTGCTGTAACATACCGAATTTCGAATATTGAGAAACCACCATTCGTGCAGAATAGAGCAGACCGAACAGACTTTTCCATGGCCTTTATGAGATTTTGCCATTTTACCAAACCTATTAAGGAATCTTTGTAGAGTAAAGGACCCTGTACATGCATGTAACAATGTTACTCTACGCAAATGGGCGATGTCGCAGAAATATAAAAGCGCTAAAAGTAATTCCGAGGGTGAAGAAACGCATCTCAAGCTGACTAGCCTTTCCTGTAAAAGCGAAGGGTGTTGAGGCTATGATTGGTCGCTGAGATTGCTTGGTAACATGTGAATTCGACAATAAAATAAACACCTCTGCCTGCGATTTGTCTATCAAATGCAAAGGAAACGAAAATTTCCTCAAGTAGTCTTCAAATGCTTTTTGCTCAATACGGACTATGCCAGTTAGTTCGACGGGGAATTGAAGTATTTCCTAATTTTCGAGTGATTGTCACCTACAAATGCAACCGACTCTACCAAATGCTGCGTAAAACTTATATGAAGAAAAAAGGCACGGCGTCATTTCCCACCATAACATCATCAGATCAAACACTTTCAGGGAGTCCGGACAGCAAATGCTGCAGCATGGCTGAGGTACCAAATTGGATTAGCATTGTGCCTCAGATTTGTATGTGCCTATCGGTTTCTGCCCCAACGGCTAATGATACTAACTCATCAAAAATTGCAATGCATTTGGTATTGCAATGTAAACTCCTTAGCGATCCTAACCGAAATCGTTACGTCTTTAAAGTGTTTAGAAATCGCTACATCATCACAAGATCCCAAAATTATGAAATGTAAGTTTACAAAATGATTCTAGATAATCCCACGTGACCCTGTGTCACTTTTATTATGTAAATTTAAAACAACAGCTTTTCATATTCACACAACCCTAATGTACCTTTTTATTTGTGTAGTCAGTGTACAAAGAGAACGCGCATACCTTCATGACCTTGCTAGCCTCCAACTTTTCATCTACCTATTTGCTCCTGTAATGGAACTCCTGAGATGTGAGGATTTCGATACATTGAAGCTGGAGTCGGGTCTTCGACTATGGGCTCCTCTAATGGTCCACAGACAACCTTACGAGGGCTCATTTCCAGTTCCTGTAAAACCCCCGACCACCCTTGGTGCTTCAGAAGTCCTAGTAAACCCCCTAAGAAGCTACACTGATCAGTTTGGCCCACTACCCGCAATCTTTCGGCGTTCCGGAGAGCGGTTGAGTGACGAAAGTGCGGTCGGGGTCAGCAAAACCACTGGCCAAAGAGGGGCACTCATGCCCCACTCCACTGCCCCCTTCTATCCTGCTTCACCGAATTTAAACATCCCAAACGCGGAGTCTTCTGATGAGGTGGGCACTTTAGCTTTCATACCATCAATAACACCTGATGTTTCGCGTTTTTTAATCACAATCTGCTTCTTCTTTTCAATATCAATACCTTATAGATTAACATTCACTCACTACAGACTCTTAAAGCATGCGATAATTGGAAGAAGATGGTCCTAAACCTCGAACCGAGGTTCAAAAGGTCTGCCAAAAGGCACCTGGATTATTTGAATCAAAATCATACTGTATGGCAGTAGAATTTAGTTATTATGCGTTCATATTTCAAAATAGGTCGCGCAGTGTTCCCGGAATACACACTGAAGGTGTTGAACCTACGGGGTTTTGAGAACAGTACATGTCTTTGACGTTGACTGTCAAGTAACTTCGATGCGAGATAAAGACTCGAGCACATGCAAACTGTGGCGGCTGTAGATAGTCCATTAAATTCAGGTTCCTGGAATTTGTTTGATATTTTTGCGTTTAGCGTGTTAGAGTTTGTCTGTAGAAGCCGATTTATTCAGAACCATAAGGGAATTTATTTTGTCATTGATTCAATTTATAAGTGATTTCTGTTTCCAGGGTGAATGTACTTTCTTTAATTATTTTTAGTGTATTTAACTATTAGAGGTTTGGCAAATACACTGTCATAAGGTAAAAACATTAACACCATTAGCCGCGAGACACTTCTCACTTGCTGGCACTTTTAGTTCAATAGGATGCGTATTGCAGTTCTAATTTGTGGCTTTACTAGTAGACACTTTTTCACTCCCGAAGTAGCAAAATGTTTGGTTTTAATTTGTATTTTCAAGTTTTATATGAGTGGTGCTTTTTGCTGTGGGACAATCTATTCAATTCGCCAGATCCGGCTGCTAATTTGCATGACTGTTTAAATCAAATGGTGTGGCTCCGTTTTGCATTTCTCCTGGTTCACAAAGGCGGACAAATTTTGGCTCTTTGTCAGCAAAAGTCACATTCACTCATAAATATTGAAACTTTTAAAGCTTTTTGGGGCTAAAATTTTGGGGTAAATTATAGTAAAATAAACACACGTTAACCATCGTATTCTATGGTACTGAGACATCCATGAAAGACAAACTCAACTGTAAATTTCCCTCTTATGTTGTTTTGACTTTACTGAAGGTTAATTCAAACAAAAAATGCAGAATTTTGGTGTTGTCATTTTTTTTCTAGCCAGTGAAGGAAAACTCATGTAGTAAGTGTACGTCAGATGAAGTTAATCCGCAAGCAGCAATAATTGACCCCTAACTTCATCAATTAAGAAATTAGACAATTTTCCAAAACTTGCATGGTGTGTCTTCTCGGCACTCTCGTCCATTCGGTTACTAGGCTTATGATCAGAACAGATCTATTCAAACACATCTTTAAAATAACGCAGAAATTTACTCGGAGTATTCAGTAATATGGGGCTTGTGAGATACGGGCAATCGTGTGATCGCGTTGTTACCCAAGTAGGTCAGAAGATGTCTCTCCTGCCAAGTCCTTATCAGGTATTAGTTATGTAATTATTTGCACAGCTATCGATTTTACTTTGTTAAATTGACACGCCAGTTATGCGCACTCCTGGCTTGAAATTTCAGTTACCTCGCCATTTAACTACTGTTATTTTTTAATCAAACTACAAACAGATTCCTCAACCCACATGTGGAACCGTCCGTGGCAAAATCCTCTCTTTTAACTATTTAAAAATTAAGGTATTATTGCGCTACGGTACTACCACAAATATTTACAAATTGAACTAATTTTACTCCTTGGCGAAATGTTGATGCAAGATTTAAAATCCAGACATTAAAGTCCAACGCAAAAGCTTGATGCAAAGTGAATGCCTAACGTCCAATCACAGCCGGGGAATTTAATTAACAACCCTGTAGAAGGAGGAGAAACAAGGCTACCCAACTATTTCAGTTTTGTGGCCAATAGTCTGCTCAGTCAAATGCTTCTCAACCTGCCAACTGTTAGCGTCATATAATTTGAACTATGTGACCATTACAACTTATGGAACATTAATCTAAGGCTATCTTAATTTCGTACTAGCTGCTTCACATAAACTACATTTTTCATGAAGGTGGTTTGACGTTGCAGGCTCAGAGACATTTTGTTACTTTTAAACCATGGATGAACCGGTTTTAAATGATAATTGAAACAATAATTTTTTTCAGGTTCACAAATTTGTCTAATCAAAATTAATTTTGCTACTTTAACAAAATCTAGATCTAGGTAATGTTGTGACGAGCAATTTTCAGGCTTCTAAATTCTTATTTAAGCACCACACAGCTCAGCTAAATCATGGCGATGGAAATGCGATAGTCGTAAATGGATAGCTTACAAGTAAATGCCAGTACTGACTGGCTCAAACGTCGTTCAACACAACTGTAGGTTTTTTTAGTAATAGATCTGCTCTCATGTTTTACCATTCAGACAGCAATCAGGGATGGTCCGTTTGTTAAATTTAATTTTTTGTTGAGGTAAACTTGTGGGTACTGTACGAACCAGTTGTGGGGCATGGTGACTTTGTTAAAATAAAAACAGATTTAGTCTGTTTATAGATGACGCCTGGTTTAACATGTGGGAGGACCCAATTTTAATAAGGCTTGCGAACATTGCTTGACATGGCAAATCTAGGTAGGGAATGAGCGCCGCATCGAGGAGGTCGCTGCATCTGCCCACTACCTTGGTGACATTCTTCTGTGCTAGCAGCAAATGATGCCATACAAGTTTAGGCAAATGTTTTCTGACCTACGCACCATTTCTAGGACAGCATGGTATTTGTTCTGAGTGACAAAAGGTTGGCGAATGACCCTTCGAAACTATGTTCAATCGAATTTACTATGTTCCTCAACATAAGCTAACGTAAAATAAACACGTGTGCCAGGTAGGCTTGTGGGTTTTATGGTGGGAAGTTCGGGGATCTGACATAAGAAGGAATCTTGAGCTGTCTGGGACTCAGCGTTGGCTTCCGATTCACCGGAATAAGGTTAATAGGTGTGAATCGGTCAAGTGTTCAGTTGTTTTGTAGGATTCAGCATGGTATGATCGACATTCTGTGCCCGTTGGCACAGTTGCTGCCAAATCACAGGACTCACGTCCCGTAGTTCCAATGGCTCAACTTAACGACATTTGCCCGGTCAGTCTCAAAGACACGGATACGGAGGACTCTTCGCCTTATCACTCAGACTGTGTCTCTGCTAATCGAAAGCAGCTTGTAAGTAATGACTCTGTGTGTTGCGAGTTCGGTTTAGACTTCAACTCGTCAGGATTTTACTTTTTTTCATATATCTTCACAGATCTTTGATACAACAATTTTCTCATATGACATATAAAACACAGCATTTGCGTCATGATGCTTCCACTACTTGGCTAATTAAACCGTTGTAAATTATTTTATGCTCTTTTATATGCATTCCAACTATTTAGCTACGGCACAATACTAACAATTTATCAAATGAAATGCCAACTAAGAGATTCGCAGAATGTTTTGGACCTCAAATAGCTGTCATTTAATTCCGAATCTTATGTGGAAGTCGCATCTCAATGTCAAAATATTTTACTGTCGCCATTCGATAAATTAAATCAGTAGAACTTTAAAATACAGCAAACTGTTGGTTTTTTGGAAAATAGTGTTTTACAGAGCCAAGTAGATGACTGAGTCTCAGAATTGCCCCAGCTGTTCATAGTCCTTATATTACAGCAGGACCAGACCCTTGAAGAGCAAATTCACTCCTTCACTCAGACCGTGGTCAAAGAACTAATGGCCACAGACACCTTATTGGCAAGTCACTGCGATCTGGCTGTTATGCGGTGCCTGTTCTCACCTGAGTGGTCCGAAGCCGGGGCGTTCTGGGCAACAAGATACACCTACCGCCGCCTCGTCTTCCTCCGCCACGAGCGCCTGCGCGAAGCGGCCGAGTCGCATGCTCAATCACGATTTCAACGATTCCGTGCCAAACTCCCTGACGCCTACTTCTGTGGGGACGCAGTGCTGGGCCAAGGTGCGGACTTGGGTGTCCTACGCAGCATCTCGATGCCCCAGTTCGTGTCACGCGACTTGCCGCAGCCTGGAAATGACATGCCGGATGGTTCAGTTGGCCTGAAGAACGATGAAGACAAAGGCAGTGCCGAAGGTAACAAAGGCATTCTTAAAGTTCTGCAATCCAGCACTGAGAGTTAGGTTTCGACAAATTTGGAATGTAACTGCGTCTTCCAAGCAAGATATAGGGGCTAAACCTTTATATGACCGTGTGAGCTTGTGTCCACAGCACCGCAATTTACATTTTTACCGTACTACGGCAAGGTGGAATCAAAGGGGTCCTATTGATTGAAAATTTAATAAATCGTACAAAATTCAAATCTTTATTCTTTAAATCTTTGGTACTGACTGCAAAAGGATTAAGAAAATCTCTTGATAAGTAAATTTGGTGTCTTCATATACGGCATGTTAGTATTATTGCTACATTGGTTATAAATACTACTGTGATCTGCTGGTCAATCTCCAAGATTTCGCTTTGCAAACGGTAAACGTGTACGAAACAGTCCAGCATTAACCACTTTTCCATTTTTTAACACGTTGTGATGATAAGTGCATGGAACCTACCCGCATAATCGAATTCAATAAGTAGCTAGTGTTATTTTTAAAAAAAGGGATTTATTGTAAACATTTAAAGCACTTTTTGCCTTCAAATCGGTGGTGTGGTTAATCAGCCAACTCGGAGGTCTTAAAAAGGACAAGTAATAGCCGAAGTGATGAATTTTGCTACGGTGCAGCATGTCGATCGAGGCAAAGTTTGGTAATAGGAGAGTTAAAGTGTATTTTTCTGGATTCCGAGGCTTTCTTTTATGTCAACGTTTTTCTCCTGTTACGGCTCCTCGACGATCTAAGTTAAACTGCTTTAAATTAATCTTTCTTAAAATTAGCCTAAGTATGAAACTGGCTTCGTATTTGTGTTCAAGTACGACTTTTCTTATCAGTGAAGGTATTAAAGTGGTTAACTTTTATATCTAGGTCGTAGAAAAATGTTCATAATTGGTGCCAGCGGAGGTGATGAAAGACACTCGACGAGTCTATCACAAAAATCTTCTAGCTCCGATCAGCAGTCCACAACAATGGAGGCCCACCAGCTGTCAGTTCCGCTTCAGGCGCGCATCCCGGAGCCCACGTCCTCCCCCACGCTGCAGCACTTCTCTGGTGACTTTCCCGCCTCTCCAGTTCGCTATGTGGTCGGAGATATCCTCATACCACCTGCCTCTTCCGGCATTTTCCATAGACGGAAACAGGGCTACAAAGCATCGATGGAGACCACCAAGGCTCCCAAGAAGCTTGGTGTCTTCGAACTCAAGGTTATTGCTTTGACCTATAATTCCTACGGCGCTGTCACTTAATTTAGAAAGAACTAGCTAACTATTTGAGTAAAATTAGGAGAATAGCAAACAATTCAGCAGTATCTTTGTTTGGTTCTAATTGTAAAAGTGGTTATGGCGTTTCGGATGCAAATCACAGGTAAATACCAAAATTGTTATCCAATTTTCTCCTTAACAAACGTGTGACTTTTGCAATAAGCCAAGACCTTTCCCTTGGTAAATTTCATATTACTCAGCGGTAGGTTTCAGATGCCTTGGAACTCCTATCCAATGTTTCTTCCTTAGTCTATTTTCAACTGGGACGAATAGAATTAAAGTCGGAAATTCTGGGCCTGTTTTGTTTTTCACTTTAATTTCAGCTTACGCGTCTTTCGTGTTTGATTTTATAGGATCGCTTTTCACGGCGTGGTAAGACCAGACTCGATGCTCCATCTGCGGTTTATTCTGGGAGTCACAGTAAGTTTCTTCAGACCATATTTCACTTTTACGGCTTTTGTGCATAGAAATGGCACTGGCACTTGAATTTTAAACAAACCTTTATAATGGGGCCTGAGCAAGTATGTTAAATCAAAAGCACTCCTGGTAAGCGCATGAAAATAGTTCGTCATCTAATAAAGGAACTAAAAGGGTGTGAAGTAGTGACTGAGAAATTGGGTGCAACAAATCCTGGAATTTGAAGGCCGTTTGGTGTTTGCAGGATTTACTTGATTTTGTACCCTACTTACAATTAGCATACAGGAGACATTTTCTTAAAAAGAATTAACAGTGTATAAGAATAATGAAATGGATATGTCAAGCACTGGCCATGATCTTATGAAACTGCTGTGAGGTTAAGTCTATTTACACTTGTACAATAACACTCAATTACCAAAGATTGCGGTGAGAGGCGTGGAATAAATCTGACATGGAACCAGTTCTAGTAGTTTGCTGATTAATTGAGGACACGATATCAGGAGTTATAAAGTTGGTCGAATCGCAAAGGCAGCCTCCAAAACATACTTTTGTGATCATATTATGTGTCCTTTGTAAGATCTTCTGGAAGAACCGGCATTTTCAAAACCTTATTCAGATGAGTCAATGTTTGGAGAGTCCTCCAGTTTCCTTACTGTGCCCGCGGCTGATTCAAAGCAAATGGACAGTGCCAGTGGAGGCATTCTACGCAAGTCAATAAAAAGCCCCCTCTCACCGAAATCCAGTTCCGATCTCATTGATCTCCGCGATGACAGGGCTCTTGCGGGAAACGCAAAGTCACAAACTTCACTCAACGAAGCCCGCTTCTTTGGCAGTGACGTTACAATGAACCCAGATGAAGCAACGGACAGTCAAAATTCAATTGACACTGCGTCCGCAAATTGGGATCCAAGTGCTGGGTTTCTTCTGCATCGGTGTCATTCGGATACAAATGTTTCTTATTACAGTGTGCAGCAGGCAAGGAAGTTGTCTTTTGTTTCTCAAAATTGATAAGTGTGTCTGATTGTTGTAGTGGTATAGACAAATCCTGCACCTGATAAAGTTCAAGGGTGATTCATACAGTTCAGGGGTGTGTCACTTGAATTTTTGGGCGTTCTTGAAGTAAGCTTAATTGGAAATTGGACAAGTTTGTCTTTTTGATCCAACATTCAATTACTATAAGCAGCCACCAGGTTAATGTACTTTAATGGTCAAATGGTGCAAATCAACACCCGGTTTTTTTTCAAGTGTTGCGTCAAAAACTTGTTTTTAGTCCTCTGAGCTGAAAACAACATCAAAGTCCTTTTTATCGAATTCCGGTTTGTAAGGATCATAAAACTTAGAAGGTAAGTCACTAAACTGAACTATTTATTGGTCTGTTGGGTTTCAGAAGGATACATTTACCGCGTAAACTGCAGATGCCCATTCCTATTGATCAAAGGTTGGAACATGCCCGGGGTGACTGTAATAATGAGGTTAAATATTCGCAGATTAAATGAAACCAGTGGGCTAAAACAAAACCCTCCAGGCATCTTACTAAAGTTTTCATTTTGATAATTGTGCTAAGTGTCTCAACTTTTGGGTACTAATCTGGCACGAGGCAGTCTTAAATCTTCACAGTTAAATTTATTCACATTGCTAATGTGCTATATCAAAACTAGTAGGTAATTTTGGAAATCTTTTGTTTTTGTGCGCTCGATAACTGCCTTGCTTGAATAGTACCTGACAAAACGTCATCAAGAGATCTATTTAGTCTAGGGATGAATACTGATGTTGTAGAGCTCTAACATTGCTCTGAGCAAACTTACGTTTTCCCGCTACGCGATTTCGAAGCTAATTTAAAGTTAGCAAGTTTGAGTTTGATGCGGCACTTTTATTTTTAAATTTAAATCATTTTGAGAGGTAGAACTGCATTTAGTGCTCTACCATTTTCAACACAACTAGATGTTACGGCGTGACAACGTCCCACGAACTACACAGGTATATAAAAATCACAACAATATGATGTGCGTCGCTTGTGGAGGCAGAAAGATAAGGAAGAGTAGAATTTCCGCAGTGAGCTCAAATTCCTTTTGTATTTTTAAAATCATTAATCTCAATGTGAGCGTTGCCAATAGGGTGCTTTCCAAAGAATAACGATAATTGTTAACCTTGTTTCATTAAAAAATTGTTTTCTCTTACAGCAGAACAATTTAATCTTTTTCACCATTTCAATTTCAAATATTTAGGTTATGCTGATTAGTTGTTTGTAGTTTGGTTTAATTCAATTTATTTTGTTGTCATTGCAACAGATCGATGAAGTTACGGGGTCAAATCATTACATTACAAGGGATGGACGAATCAACTGCGAAACAGTGCTTCGTGGTCTATATTGGATATGCAACCTCCACAACTCTCTGCGCATATGCGAGTACCTTCTCAAGAACGTCTTCTGTCTAATCGATCTATGTCAGTTAACATGGGAGAAGCCCAAGCGCAGAAGAAAACACAAGCCAAGTCACTATTACAGACACACGCGCGAGGAATCGGCCAACCCTGCAACTGGTCTCAACACTGCGGTGAACAAACGCATCCATGGTCGCCATAATCTGTACTCTCGGAGTAAATCCATGGCTGTTCCAGGAATCCACCTGAGTCTTAATTCCACCGCTGGCTACGCTGGCAAAACTTCGCAAGCTCGCTCCCGCGGCTCTTCAGTTGTAACACACAACGAAGTTGGCAGTGCCGAGAAACTGGCTAAGGTCAATGGCGGCGGAAGATTACTCCCCTTTGGTCGAAACAGAAGCCGACGCCAACCTTTCACTGACGATGGGGCTGATAGATCGGCAGATGTTAGTTCCGATGAAGAAAACAGTACCTCGAGGAGTTTTCGAATGCACCAATCTCGTCCTACTTTCCATAAGTCTGATAGATATCTTAATGTAGACTGCCCTGCATTGGCCCAGGTACGCTTTCAACCCCGTAGACTATCATTGAGACAACGGTCCTTCCAAAATCGCTGCGTGGGCGAGATTCCTGTATGCGGGTCCATGCGGCAGCTACCAAATAAGCTTCTAGTGGTTGAAAAGAGACCACAGAGAAGAATCAGGGCCGTTAGGAGCAACATGATTGATGACAAAACACCAGAACAATCGCGTGAACGTCGGAAGCGCGCTACCATAAACTTTAGCCTGATTATGGAAATTCTTGTTAAGTGAGTTTTATCCACATCTAGACTTCTTACCTTTACAACCGAAGAAGATTATAAGTTGCCTGAGTCAGAGGGTTCTCTGTAAGTAGAGAAACAAAGCAGCAATATGTGTGACATATCAGGGTCACCGGTTCTAATAGCAGTATCCAACACTCACCTGCCCAAGTGTTTCCCTAAACCTGATTCACAGAGGTGTCGGTAGGCAGCTCTGGTCGGAAAAGGTATTCAAGTTATTTTAGTTCGTTCACGATGACTCCTGCTAACTGTCTAAGCTACAATGAGTGTTCTGTATGGTAAGCCGTCCTGCGTCTGGCGGCAAAATGTGAACACAGCAACTTAAATGACATTAAATTGGGTTAACTACAAGGTTTCGCTAATTCATGCTGATGCTAGCCACTGGCGTTGACCGGTCGATTGGTACTATTACGGGAGTTTTGTCGGAAAAAATTCGGGTCCTGTATATAACTGTACTTATTTGTAAAGTTTAGCCAGCATGAGTAGCCTAATGATAAAAATGCCCACTAGCTCTGTTTAAAATGCTTAAATTTGTGTTCCTTTTATAAATTAAGCTATTACTTGACTTGCCTATATTCTGTAGGAAACGCAAACTCTCAATTGAATAATTCAGTCCTATTAAGGGATTCGTGTATTGAATAAAAAATTTAAAATCTTGTAAGGCTCTCTGAAAAAAGTCAAATTAAATATTTTTAAGGGAGTGATTATTGTGAAATTTCTCTTGGACATCAATTTTTACTAACCCGAACCAAACTCAGATTTTACCACTTTATTGTTTCCATTTCATTAAAACATGGATCTAAGTGAGGTTTAACAATTTTCCTGGCCAGAATTCTCGGAGGCTTTGATGAGAGTAGGGAATCTTTAAAATTCCGATTGGCCTTATCTGTGCTGCTTGTTTTGGCATAAGACAGATGGTAGCAGCATTTAACCACATTCTGACATCCTACACGTAGATACTGGTGGCCAAATTTTAACCCTACTATTCAAACTTCTGTGGAAGTATCAAGGTAATAATACTTTGTCATTTATTAAAAGGACTTGCCTGAATTAACATTAATAGTGAACATATTAATTGCTCCTCTCCTTCTTTTCTTCAATTGTTTTGAAAAGTAACTGAAACAAAATCATGAAATTTGAAGCCATAATTGCATCAATGTTCACCGGTTTGGCAGTGGCTTTGATTTTTTGTTAAAACGGATTCGTTAGCAGAAAATGTTCACTATAACATGGGAATGTGCTTAAGCCATCAGAGTGGGACAAAAATTGTCCGTCTCGGCTGTCAAAGCACTCATAATTACCATTGTAATTTGCCGATCGAAACCTTTACTTATTGTTAATAATTTTTTTATGTATCCTCCATGTAGTTATCAGCAAATGTTAGTGTGTTCATTTCGTTGGTTATGATGATTGCCTTTCTGGGGATAAAGTTAAAACCGTGATACACTCATAGTAAAAATGATAACTCGAAACGAAGTCTGGGTTTGTGTGGGCACAATCATTGCGATCAGATTATCTAGCCATTTTTTATACTAACTGCTGATTTTGCTACTTTAGGCGAATGGCTAAGACCCTCATGTTCTTTAACTGAATTTAGGCCCTGCATTTTTCTAAACTGTAATTCGGGAAAAATGTATTAGCCAATTTAAACGCAGATTATTGTGTAAAAGTAAGCGAAATTGTTGAACTATTGGTTCTCTCCTCGTAATTATAGCCCCAGTTTAATTCTCACGTTTTTACTTAGATGTCCAGGATTTTTAGGAATTTTTAATGCATACACCATTTAATGAGGCTCGTCAACAGAAACGTCACTGCACAAACAATTTCGTTCTCATTTCTTCTAATTAGTTAAACTGAAAACATAATCAATTTCTGAAAAATTAATGGTTTTCGTATTAAAAGACTGCACAAGGTATAAGGTCGATCATGTAGAAACCTTATAATTTGAGTGGATCATCTTAATGTTGCAAGAAATTCCATCACTTTGATGTAACATTTCACCCCTAGGATAATCCGAGGGCTGGGATGTTCACACAGCCACTCAAACGAATGGGACGGTGGGTCGCGCCGCGTCGCCACAGGCGCGGGTCACCAGGGCACTGCCTCCGCCGCCGCCACCTCCGTCTCCACGCCCACGACACTGCGTCGGCACACCCACGAGTGCCTGCTACGCATGTTCACGCTCAACCAAAACCTCTTTTATTACTTCTTCTCTCGTCTCATTGCAGCTGCGCCCATCACCGAGCTAATGGAATTCCTACACGGCCTAACCAGCTTCTGCCTGGATCCGGTCGTAATGAATCCCAATCGACCTGGTGAGCGTAGTCATGCTTTTGTAATTTTTTGCCCGAACCTCGGTCAGGGTGATAACCAGAGAGACGATTGCCTTGTGGGCTCGAATTTTACGACATTAAGAAACATTTTCTGACGGATTTTTACCTGTGTGTCAACAATTTAAAGTCTTCCATAATCAACACTTGAACTGGCAACTAGAAAATCATGTGACAAGATGCTAGTTTTATATTTTTAGACAAACCTGAAAACAATGGAATCCATGAGGAGGCTGATTTCTGAAGACAGTAAATTGCTGCTCTCGTTTTATTTAAGTATTAGACCGAAATCCAGAGATCCCTGATAGGACTAGTATCTATAAACAGAAAGCAGCTGCACTGCATAGTTTGGGCAGGTAAAACGTAACAATGTTATTGCTATGTGAGCAGCAATTGGCTACTGGAGTTACTAAAAAGGCAGTAAAATTTAATCTTTGGTTGAGATTCACCTCAAAGCTTGGACTGTGCTGCTTCCCCTTCGGATTTAAGTTAACGGAGCTACGCGAAACCATTTAAGTGGTTTTTGGAATAAGAAGGAAACATTGCAAGCTTTGATCGGACAGTTTCCTGCATCACTTGGGGGATCCATCGAAGTTACACTTTGCCCATTTTATTGTTCCTTTCTTGTTTACTAAATTATCCTTCGTCACAACTGTTTTATGTGTCCTAACTGGATCATAATGTTAAGACAATCCCATCTTGCCTTTAATTTTTTTTTTCAAATGTGTGCATTTGCATGGTAATTCGAAGTGAGGGCCGCAAAGAATATTTAAAAACTATCTTAGAGGTAGCATTTATAAGCTTCCAAAATGATTTGTATCAGTTAATAAGTAGAATGACTTAGCAATGAAGTTCAAAGGGCACTGTGCATTTTATCCACTAGCGAATCAGAGATATTAATAGTGAAAGGCAAATATGCAACAAGTCATTTGTAGTTATTAGGCTTTGAAGAAGAGCGATGCCAAAAGAGATTGTTTCGGTAACGGTTGCTATGGTTTTCTGAAAATGATATTTAGTGTGCTGACGCCGTTTTATGGTAACTCAGTTGTTGTGCTTGCATTTGAATGACAAATCAGGTAAACTGATGTAATGTAGTAATGTGGGTTGAAGGCATATCTGACTTGATTGCCCTGCCATGTGACCCAAATAATCATAGGAAAAATAAATGATAACTCCATCGTTTTCATTAAAGCACTCATATTTGGGAGCAAAATCCACAGCACGCCACATTAGTTCCTAAAACTTAAATTGAAGCATTTTAATATTATGTCGCACCTGATGAGATTGTTTGATAATTCAGTTTAAACACCAAAGGTTTTTTGTGTCCACTTAGTGCAGCATCAGTTTAATGGCAGTCGGCAATCATTTCAAGAACAGGGTTTTAGTGAAGTTAGGTCATGCAGTCACTGTTTAAATTTTTGCCTGCTTGAATTTTTTAATTTGTGGCATTTTCTTTGCCAATTTGCTTTTTTTAAAATTTCTATCTGTTTGCCAAAAAATCTGTCAAATGCCCAATAACTGCGCGCACCACAGCAGAGAAACCAAAGTTCTACTGGAAATCCTTTTTTTATCTCCGATTCTTCAACTTATTTCCAGCCTTTCGAGAAAACCTTCAGGTCTCTTGTCGTTTTTTATACCAAATGTCCATGACGGGTGATTGACTATTTGTTAGCAAAAAAGTTAGAAGCGTTACCATAAAAACACTGAACTCATTTGCCTTCCAGTATTGAAATGTGATATGTCAGAGGTTTCCGTTTCCTTCTGTACATCGTGTAGTAAATGGTGCATTTGCTACCAAAGTGGGTGTTGTTTGTTTTAGGCCTAAGCCTTTAATCGACATTACCAGTTCGCATAATTTCACGAGACTCGTTATAGCACCTGACGTAGATTGAGCTTACCGTCTCGAGGGCTCTGGTGACGTCAACGTGTGGTCAGTCTTGGCCCCAGCAGTAATGACCCCAAATTTGTGCATAATTCGCTGCTGGAAAAGCTGAGTACGAGGGTTTGAAACCCAGCAAATGTTCTCGTAACTATTTTGCATAGATTACTAGGTCAGTGGGAAAATGGCATATCCTAATGCACTATGACGGCTAAAAAAATCAGTTAATCGTCAAGGTTGTTTCAGACTTAACACTGTGGCGTTTTTTTGCTAAGCTGCTTGTGAATTGGAGAACGTTCAAAAGGCCACCAGCAACCTGTAACCTGTCACAATTTACAGTACTTCCAATCGCTAGACTTAACTAGTTGGTTTCTACCTATTGTGGATAGAATTTACGACTAGATCTTAATAAAAACGTGCTGATGGAAGCTATGTCGAAAAAAACCTAATCCAAACGTCAGGACACCATAGGCTTTAAAGGCATAAATTTTGCGATGTATAAACTAGGTGCTTTCTGTAAAGTATTGATCACTTAGGCGCATACTATCCCTGACCTGCACACATAGATCAGATATGAATGGGGGTTATTACACCTCCGGTCATTTTGGGAAATGGGAACACGTTATGTGCGTCGTTTTTATTACCATTGTTCCTCTAGAAAAGTTATTATAATTGCCAATGACCAACGGAGCCAAAGGTTTCCTACATGACATCTCATCACTTTTCTTACAAAACTTTGAATGCAGCCTTCTGAAAGTGACGCAGAATTCTTCTGTGTGAATTTTAGTTCCTACATTAGGCAGTGGTGGCATCGAATATAAAACGCATAGATGGCTATTCTGTCAATTACCGAATGGCTTTTTCGTATAAAGGGTCAGAACTTTAACTTTTGCACAAAGATATTTGTGTTTTTTTTATATCATTTAGACATTATGTGCCCAACTTTGTCTAAATTTGTGTGCCATTGACAAAGTGCCATGGTCTAACATGGAAGTGCCTCCGTTTGTAATTAAAAGTCGCAGGTCAAATACATTGCTGAATTAATTTTTATTTCCATTCTCTTATTACATATCAAATTAATCAAATTGGCTACGGCAATTCATGCAAACCTAAATATTGATTTACGTTTATGTGCAAAAATTTATTAGGCCCTTTGGTAGACTAGAGGACAAGAAATTATTTTGCATGCCATCTTTACCTGAAGGATTCTCGGAGAAGTGGAGTTATCACAACAGTTTTGGCCAATCGTTCACCGGTGAGGGAACAAGAGGGGCTGAGGGGGTGATTATTGCCAGCCTGATGGGTCCTCTGGTGCGCCGTTTCGTTCGTTGCCGTCGAGAACTGGCAACGCAGGAGAATATAAGCCTCTTCACCGAAATTCGGCATTTTCTCACGTACCTTAAAGCAATTCATGGGAACACCTTCAGGAGGGCTCTCCTCTGTGCTCTCCTCTGTCCCATTCGAACGGTTACAGTGAAGACTCAACAGCCCACGTCACTTTGCAGACCAAGAGCGTAAGGTTGCCCTCTTTCAAGTGTCAGTTCTTTTGTCTACTCAACTCACGCTTTTAGTGGGTGTGTTTTCGAATCAACGTTTTGTAATACCTTTGAAGGTCCCCGCTAACAGCATAGCCAAATTTTGCGCTGGTGTCCTTTTTTTCTTTTTATGAAATTTAGTTTTTATCTTCCTCACAGGTGCTTTCTAGTAAGTAATTTTCTGTTTTTCTCATAATTTCTTAAATTACTTTCTTAACTACTCACATGTTTTGACCTTCCAGTCTAATTACCAACGCATCTTGTTTTTAAGCCTAATGTCGAATCAAATTTAGTTAAGTCCGAATCCGAAGACATTTTTCTTTCATACGATTCTTACCCATCTATGACTTGTGGTTTTTTGGTTAACGTAGGCTTTCTGGGAGGAATTCGCTGTGGCCTGCGTCCGCATCCAAACGACCCTCGATGATCGTCACATCTGGAGATCTCGTCGACGCAGGTGACACGATCTCGGGCGGGCAGAATAAACGGATGCTGTTGACTCAGTCCACAATCGGACAAACCTGGAAACCAAGTGAGACATTCGAAGATCGATTGTGTGATAAATAACGCTTTGATTTGATTGGTCAATTTTGGCGACATATACTGGACTCAAGTCTTGTTGGATTTCTTACCTGCAGTCGATCAGAGCCCAAAAATTGCAACCGTATAAATCGTTAACATTCTGGTAGTGGTAGCTTTGAACGGGAATTCCTGGACAAAAGATGCTGTAAGACTCAATGCAAGTTTTAAAAATCGGTTTCTTTCACTATGATTTGTGTAACCTATTCCATTGTTTGCCTCATAATAATCTATTGTCTTGTGCTGGCATAGAATCAATTGCCGGATAACAGTAATCTCCATATTGTAAAAATAACAACAGTTGTACGTTAACACTCGGCAATGTGTGTCAAGAACTAACAAGAAAATCGTGTCTGTGATCCAGAATTTACTCAGCGGGTAATTTACTAAATAAAGATGAATCGCCGGTCTTTGAGCTGACGTATATGAGAAACGGCATCCATGCCTACGTCAAAAAGTAAAGGATGTTTAGTTATAATTATTTTAATTTCAGGTGACCAGAAGCCTTCCAAACTTGTAACCGAAAGAAAACTTATCGACTTGCTAGCACTGAAGGAAAACCTGCGTGACTTTACCTTCCTCCTTGAGTGCTTGGAACCTGGAACGTTGCCAGAACCACAACTGGCTGCCTCATTCCTTGACTTGGTAAGCGCTGGCAATGTTAAATGCCATTAAAACGCTATTCCTGAACAAGATTTTTAAGCTCGTCGCTTAAAGCCCAAATCAGCATGAATAATCTAAATGTTTGCCAAAACTCCAAAAGGCAAAATTAAATCAAACAGCATTCGCCGGGGCAGCTAAGACCATTTCCTTATTAATCATAGGATGTTTTGATTAGCCTTCTGTTCATGAAAAAGAAATAAAAGCCCACAAACGGAACACGAATAGGATTGCAATATTATCATTTACGTTTTAAATACTCAAATGCTTGATTTTGTGGTGACCAGTGCCACCACGTCAGATTTGATCAAACCGGACGCGATTATTGCCCGTCAGCTACGTGCTACTTTCTAGTAAGTTGACTTCATTCCCCAGTCTAGCCAATGAATTTGGCTCCTTTTGACGTTAGATACGTATCAGGCCAAGCGAGTGAGCAGTTACGTCTGTCTTAGTGTCATCATTTCGCCGTTTTTATTTTCAGGTTAAATGAGAGTATAAAAAAGGAAAATTGCAAGGGACGCGCTAAAATAAAGCGTGTAAATGCTCAAAAGTTATAAACAACTTGTCGACAAACGGTGAAGATATTTGTTCATTCAGTATTCCGCAAATGTTGCAACATAAACAGTAAAAATGTTCAATGATGTCCTATCGTAGCAAAATATATTTGATTTTTCTGGTAGATAGTTTGAAAGAATTGTTGCGGGCCCCGGCATGTTGGCTTAAACCACTCCGGGGCCAATGCATCAATCTACCCCGTTTACGCAACGCTAAGTAACCGCGAAGACGAAGAAGCCCGGAGAGACCGAGGCACAGCCGTTTACCAGACAGCTCAACCAAGTTGTGGTGTCGTGTCTGTATTAGAGGTAGTGCAACATCCAGTTGTGGTTCTGGCAACGTTTCAGGTTCCAGGCACTTGTTGTGGGCCCCAGCAGATGGTCCCGAACCATGCCGGGGCCATGGAATTAACCCTGGCCCGATTACGCTTGCCTGATACCCGCGATGAAGGAAAAAGGCCGGAGAGGACGTGGACACAAGCGTTTACTTCAGAGGTCAGCAACGTTGGTGTCGTTATGTCGTGTGTGGTGTTTGCGCGTGTGTATTTATACCTCAGATGTGTGAGTTATACATGCGCTAACATCGAGACCTATGTGTGGGGACACTCCAAGATAAATATTCGGGCTAATGGCTAAGGGGAAGTTGAGGGTTCGAGCGGCTGGCGACATGCTGCGACAAGTAGGAGGTGGAGCGACCGGATTATGGAGTTGAATAAACAGGATTCACGACACACTCAAGGAGGAAGGTAAAATCACGCAGGTTTTCCTTCAGCGCTTCGTACAGTTGAGTGGACTGGTAAAAACACACGTCTGAAAGGTCACGTGGATGGAGCTGGCGGTGGTGGTACATGCGGAGGGGCGAATGAGCAGGCAGTCCTTTGAAAAGGAGCAACGACCGGGTTATTGGACGTGAATCAACACGAATCACTACAGGATAATTGGCAACTTGTCGTAAAATATGACAAGTACAACCCAAAATCCGGATTTGATTGCGATTGCGATGAAGCCCGAGTCTTTGCAGAGATCTGATGAGGCTCAGCCTTTTTTGTTAATTTGGAGCTTTGAATTTGGCAGAAACTACGATACGGCTATTATAATTTTCAACTATTGCGTGAAGACATTATTTTGAAGCAAGAAGACATGGATTTACTTTAATCGGCAACTCATCAATTGCTAATCTTATGTTGTGACATTCTAAGACGCCACACTATCCGGGCTGTTAAACTGCAGTAAATAATTAACAGTTTAACATTTTGGTTCATTTTTTGGATATATAGAGGGTTTGATTTCGTATCCCTAAATATGGCCAAGTCTCCAACGCAGGCGTTATTTAAAACCAATTTTGGTGTGGAAATTTTTATTCTTTAGTACCAATAAATGCTACACTTTGACGATTTGTTCTTGCTTACGGCCTAGTTTTTATGAATCTTATAACCAGCTAAATTGTGGGACTACTTCCACTTGAATGAGCCATATCAACTTGTCACTGAATGTCAAAATTTGATTTGAAATGTAGGAAATTTGATGTTTCATTCTGTTTGTTTTCCTTTTTAAACCATCACCGCAAAGTCCTAATATCTCACAAAATTCTGCCAGTTGACTAACGAAACAAAAAAGTGTGAGGGAATATTTGTGACCATCAATCCGTTACCACGATTATTTCTCACATTCTTGTGCACTCTTCCTCTTTTTGATGTTCCGAAACTGGGTCATTTTGGGTTAAGGGGGAAATTTTACACACGAATATTATTGATTATAGAAATTAAGCAGTATTTTATTGTATCCTTTCTTCCGAAATTTTACACAGCCCTTATTTCAACTCAGTTTAACGCGTTATCTTAACTGACTCCTTAGCTTCTCTTGCGTAATTTTAATTAATTTTCTCGATGGTAAGAAAAAATGCTTCTTAAAATTTGATGCCTGGTTTTATTTGCTCTCAATCTCTTCGGTTGTATCGTCCAAATATTGGGTAACCGCAAGTGCGCGAGTCCAATTTAGATTGAAGGCAGATGCATGCCCTCTTAACACACTTGATGTTTCTTTCACAATCAACTTAATAATTGCCAGTTATCTGAAGGTGACATGAGTCACCATAACCTTAAAAAAAATTAAAAACAATTTCTGGGCAAGATTAATTTTTAAATAGATAATGAAAAGTTACAATTTTGGTATGTTATGTTAAATTAGCTTAAAAAATAAGTGTCTTGTAACTTCAGCAGAAGAATTCAGAACATTTAAATCGTGCTGGTATTTTATGATTGTTAAACGGTATTTTAGTTTCTTTCAAAATGTTTAATATGTCTAATTAGCTCTGGACGACCTTCCGACTTTGGTGAATCGTAATCCATGGATTGCTTGCGAAGCGATTACTGCGAAACCAAATGTCGACAATTCAACTTCATTCAGCGATCTAAAATAACGTTAATCCAATTCGTACCTCAAAATGTGAAGTTTAAACGTTTTGGTAGAACAAAGCAAACTAAACTGTGCCTTTAAAGCCATTCGCCTTTGGAAGAAGTCAAAAACGCCTTTCGGCGCAGTGAAATTACGCAGCGTCTAAAGAGAAAGTGGGAGCAAGTTTGCAGTCAAGTTGTTTTCAAACTGAACTCGAAATTTTGTGACCACCCCATTGAATATTGCCAAGGGAAGTACGAAATTTGACAATTCAGCAGGAAACCTATGATATTTACCTTAGAAACTGCATACATTCTGAACAATTGTTTGACTTTTTGTCTTAATACATTCCTTCGTTACATTTAGTTTTTTCTAACCAACTTTAATTTTGTACTCCTTTTACTTCAACCCTCGTTTCTTTTGAGTTTATTTAGCAAAGTTTTATGAACAAATTAAACCTTTGTTTGGTGTGCCAATGTGCAATTCAGAGAAGACTTTGAAGCAATGAGCTTTTGCGCATGGCTTGCTGCAGTTACTGTAATTGTTTGTTGTAGTTTTATCATTCAGCAGAACCTGGATACGAAGGATTTGCACAAATCGAGATTTCAATTTAATGAGTACTATTTAAAATTATGGATTTAAAAGCAATAGCCTTTCAAGGAGCATCTGAACCCAGAGCTTTGCACTGTGCGCTACCATATATGCAATGTTTTGTAAGCAATGGTGTTGTCTACGACAAACCCTAATATTGGAGGTACCGTGGCAGCAGATGAAAAAATATGTAGCTTTCTTACCACACTTGCTATCTAAGCTGCAAAGCCCTTACTCTGTGGGGACGTAAAGTCCATAAGATATTTGCCTTTAAGAATCATATTTGACTGTAATTGTGCTACTGAGATATATTAAGGATGAGCTACGATGTTTGAATAAATGGGTCCTTTTCCAAAAATTCTTGTGATTGGTCTTTGATCTGTAAATATGTTTGCTTTGGACAGATGAGTTGAATCGCAATCGAATGAAAGGTTACGTGCAGTGTAGTAAAGCTCACCTCCAAATGGCCTTAACTGGCTTATACTGAGGCCCAAAAAATAAATTGAACTACAGGTGCAACCTTTTTTGGAAGTTAATTATTCATTTTCACAGCGAAACGTCGATACCGATTCACCTACGATCAAGTCTGAACACTAAGAATTCGAAAATATCGGATTCTAAGACTATTCAGTTGATACAAAATTTCCAGGTGGTTAACTATGCATGTGGTAAACACTTTAAAAGTAATTATTGGTGTAGATTGTGGTTTAGTTCCAACATTCGTACTGCAACTGCTCCCAATTCTATTTCGCGAATTCGGTTTTCTTCATTCATAAAATGTAACTTGGATGCATACTGCCTCAGTTCGCACGTAGTAGTTTGGTTATGCTACAACTTTTGATAACAATAACAACAATGGTGCCAAAATTCCGAACTAAGGTTTCGCATTATTTGCCTCATGACATTGCAAAAACGAATAAAATATGAAATAGTTAATATGTTATCACTTAGATACAGATTATTGCTTCCCCGTCATACGTGTACGACGTTTAAAGTGCAAAAGGATACTTCAAATGGATGACGTGTCCTGTTAAAAGGAAGGCGTAAAAGTCCAATACACGAGGGCTGCTCAATTGTATGACTACAACCACTGCGTGCACACGTGAGAGTCATTCTTCAAGTCCGCTCCGTGTTGACTAAATCATCCCCAGTTCAGCAAGTTCGTTTGATAAATAGTTTCTTTAATGTTTGCAGAACGCGCCAGTTTTGGCAAGGGCCTGCCTTCTTCTCGAGTGTGCCTACTTTGTAAATCGCTGCAACCGAGGCGAATGGCCGTCCTGGATGAAGATGAACTTTCCCATGCCGATGCAGCAGGTGGAGCATAATTCGCAGATCACCGCCGCCTCGCAGCAGCACATCGCCATCTCAATTTCTGGACCGACGGGCAATTCGGTTAGCGATGCAGGCGATCAGAAGGTAGCAGGAGCTCGTTCAACCACGCAAATCCAGTGGGCCGCAGGCCGACTATTTCATAGTTGGGCTGAAGTGAGTCAAGTCAGAGCAATGTTGTTGATTTTCTCACTATGCAAACTCCTTTTACCCAATTATCCACCAGCAATGATTTAAGCGTGTTTCACCACGCTTGTTGGTGGGTCTGTTGTGTTAGAGCAGCACTGTAACAGACTCATTTACCTTGCTTTCTTATTCTGCTTGTGCTGAGTTAAGTAGAGTCAGGCTCAGTGGCTTAGCGGGCATTTATTTAAACCTACATAATCTGCTAATATTGGGATATTTGGTTAATTTGTCCCAAGGCTACTCTAAATATAATTGCCACTTTAAGCTGTTATAACATTTATGGTCACTAAACACGAAAAGCCCACTTACGTGCTCATCAAAGCGAACAATTTAACTTTAGTCTTATCTTGATGATCTGCCTCTTTTAGCTGATACCTTAATCGTATTGTGTATAGGTCTGCAGCCTTCGATGGAAAAACTCGTAGTTTGACTGAATTTAACGCGAACCACTTGGTCGATAGACTTCTAGCGTAACCTGTCTTCTACCTTCCTCTACCATGCATCCATTTATTTTAACTGACAGCACTCAACATTTTAAGCGTTCATTTGTTTAATTTCTTCTAGATATTTTCAATTTTTATAACCTATATTAAATACTCGCGGTAATGGGGGTGGTTTCGGCATCCCTAATTAAATACTGCACTGCGTTCTGTTCATCCGCATAAAGACATCTATTATAGCTTATTAAATTCAGCCGTTTTAAGGTGAACTCCTGTGTGCCACTTTTTTTTAACAGACTCCGGTTACTTGGATGCCAAATTTCCTGCTTTATTGTCTGGATTGGCTGTCCAGGACCGGAAGTGAGATTGAGCTTTTTGCAAATGGGGGAACATTCAGGACGCCACAATACTTGTGAATCCCTGTTTGAAAATAATTAACACGTTGTTCCACAGTTTGCTGGGAGACAATCGAGCACCAGTTCCTTTGATACCGCCTACTGCGTCTCCGCGTCGACCCTCCGAGTGTCCCTCTGAATGTTTTGACGTGGAGGTCACGAATAGCCTTTTGCGACTGTTGTTCGTTCGCTTTGGTGATGGCAACGACGTGACGGCGCCAGACCTACACAGGGTCGTAGCGCACTTGTTTGAACGTGGCAGTACTGGTTTACTAGCCTTTTAGCCTTCTGGCTCAGTAGCCTTTGCCCTTGTAACGCATTCCCCTCACAGCTTTGATTCAAAGTGACGCGTATGTAGCAAGCTCCCTTAGTTTAAATGATTGCTGTTTATGTGCTCTAGTGCAATTATTTTTTTTTGCCTTGGTGTTCAGGCTTTGGGAATTCGTCTTATGACATTTTTGGAAGGATGCTCTTCAACTGAAATATGCCTCAGTCGTGACTTTCAGAGTGATGAAGATTTCCTCGATGATGGTATGTCCTGCGGCTTGGGTTTATTGACTTAGCTAAGCCATAAAGCATTCGGTTACCGTGGTTTCGGCCAAATTAAATTTTTCTTTTAAGACAAAGGGGAGTCATATTTGATCCCCGATGTGGACGACTTTGTGGCTTTTAGTTGCGGTCAAGCGAAACTTTGATAGAATAAATCAGCAAAATAGGATGCATAGCAGTCTGAATATCTGGGCCCAGACACGTTATGAAACAGTAGAATTTTGTTAATTCAATATATGTCGGCTGCGTGCTAGATCCTCTCAAATTGACGCTGTGTGAGTTTGCCATGTCAGAAAGACGAATGACTGCAACAGCTATAACAGTCGACTCCGAATAATACTCCAGGACTGTAGGGGTGATCATACCGACTTTAGGAACAAGTGAAAACAATTGCACAAGTGAGAAATAGAAACAGGATTTTCTGACAGTGTAATAATTGTAGAACTTGTAGTAACTTATGAACAAATCATTCTGCGATTCACGTTAATTTTAATATGGGGTCCACAAAGCCAACAATCGGTGAAGAAATCAAGTTATGATGGTTGAATTGCTCGTTTGCTACATTATCCAATTGTTGATTGTTAGGAGTCTGCTTTTGAGCACCGCTCACCACCACAACAAACAGTTAACCTATTTGTTTGACATTGGAAGCGTGGATAAATAACAAATTCAGGAACAACAGTTATTTACGGCAAATAGTGGTGAGCGTATGAGTCACCAGACTTGTGTATTTGTGCTCATTTTAAACAAATGCCCTAGGCCCCAACGCTCGTTTCTGCCCCACTTCGGAGCCAATGAGCTGCACGGACACAATACGATCACGATGCCCTAGAGGTAAGTGAGAAAACGACAGCCAATGAGAGTTCGACCGCATCGTGAATTCCCAGATGATACTTGTCTGTGGTTAAGGTGCAAAGTGTGGTGTTGATTGGGGTGCAGTAGATGATTTTTGTGGAAACCACGTGTCAAGGTGAATGAATATGCTCGGTCATAAAACTCTGCGATTTTGGCAGTGGGCTTGCGATAACCGTCATTGTATTTACGAACTTGCAATTCACGCTGCACAACCCTCTTCTAAGCGAAAACTTAGAACTCGGCGTGACGGTGTAAAAATTGACTTTTTCGTGATCTAGAGTCCTGTCTTGTACCAAACGGCATGCAACCTAGGGATTCCTACTTAAGAATAGCAGATGTTGAAGTGACATTATTAAGTTTTTTTTTTAAATTGACGATTTGCTGTTAACTGTTCTCAGCCACGGTGAACCCGAATGGAGATAGTTGTCCCTACGCTCTGCTTGTCATGGCCGTGCAGCTCCTTAATGAGATAACCGCTTTCTTGCGAGAGTCCCATCAGCACATCGCGCGTGCTCAAGCCACAGCGACCACCGGGTTGTCGCGTTCGGCGTTGGAACACTTCAACCAATGGGACGGTGGCCCAACGGGATCGTGCCTACCCGGTCCGTGCGGCCGCCGTAGTCATGCGGCGTCTTCAACCGGCGCAAGCAACGCTGCAACTGGCGCACTCAAGTCAACCAAGCGCCGCCTCAGTATACTAATGCCACTCTTCACCCAGTATTCGGTGGCTTCTGAAGCGAAAGAGAAGTGCAACTCGGTTTACATTGAACTGTCAAATGTACGCAGTGAGGATGGAGACACTAACTCAAGGGCTACTGACGATTACGGTACGTAGTCTTTCGAGAGCTCTATGCACTAATTCAGTAATGCGGTAGGAAAATTTCCACCTTATGCGGGTTTCCGCCTTTTTTAGCCACTGGTAAGTTTTGCAGCACCACAATTGTGCCTCAATGGCATGTGTCAAACCCCAAAATAAATTGTCAACAATCTGCTTGAAGCTGAGTGCGAGTTTTGTCCACTCATTTCCCTGTTGATGCATTTGGGGTACAATTCATTGTGCATTAGTCATAAAGGATCCGATATTTACCTACAAAGCCAAATTTACATAGTTTGAGTCAGTTGGATGCTCAATTCTGCAAGTAATTAAGTTGTCAATCATGCCGTTTTTTGAACAAGACAAAGTAAGATTAGGTCAAGTGCGCTCTAGACTGATATCTGAAAAAAAGTGGTTGCTCAAACAAATCAAAAGTGTTGGGCCACGTGGTATCTTGGTCCTTGCTTAACCGTGGAAAAGTCTGTAAAGTCGCATCAACGTGAGACTTCTTTCCCATTAACAGATAAGTAGCCAGCTTGCGATAAAATCTAACCACTAATAAATGCATAGCAGGAGGCGAATTTTACGTAGAACCCCCAGCCTAGCGGTTTTGTTGCAAGTACATATATTCTTTGTTGCCCTTTACCAGGGAAAAGAAGTAAAGGTTTGTGCTATTAGTTTGAAATAAAAAGTTTGTCATCTTTAACAATTCCAAGTGTTGGGACCTCCTTTCGGGCCTGATTGCAGGACTACGGTCCTCTTGTGAAATTTATGCAGACCCTTGTTTTTAAGTGGTAAATCGTGCTAATATTGTCGTCCGAAAAATCTCGAGAAAAACTGTGCGAACACTGTACTAAACACAATTCCGTGCGCTGCTGTTGTGACTTTTTGTGGCTTGATGACGCCAACTTCCCTTCCCACCATAGAAACCATCCATCCTTCATCTGCAACAGGTGGTCACAGCAGCCGTCAGATCAGCTTCGCGATCAACGAAAATGACCGCCAACGATGCAACTCACTTCAAGGTAGCCTTTCTTCGTTGGATGTTCAAAGTGAGGCCGTAGAAAAACCTGGTAAGAATTTTAATATTGTCAGGACTTCTCTTCAGAGTCAGTCTTTTATTGTTCATGCGTCAAAATTTAGATAGTGATGATTTCTTAATATGACAGTAAATACTGCTTCCAAATCAATCCCATTCATCACTGTGGTCTCCACGAATCACTATTTAGATGAATTTATTCTTGAAGTGCAATTAGTTGTTTTAAGATTGGGACGCACAGTCACGTGGCCTTTACACTACAATGGCCATTCGTTACTGGAATACTAGACTACAGAATCTTATCTAAATCGTTTAATTCAGGAAGACAAATGAATGTATCCATTCGCAAACTGCGCCTCAGCAGCCCTTGAGAGGCTGTGACTAAATGGCAACGGTGGAAGCGCACTTCTAGAGTTGATTCCAAGTCAAGTTGATGACCCTTTTGATTGATGCCACAACCTGGTGACTAAATATCTAAATTTTTGCCATGATTTGATAAGAGGTTGCGTTGTGAAACTCATATTTAGTGGTCAAAATTTTAGTGACCAAGAGGCATCAGTCTGCAGCCATGCTAGCAGACTATGGGCAAAGTTCCAAGAAGGGCTCATGAAGCATTGTATCACCCGAAAGGCGGAAGTAACTTTAGTCGCTGCGGTGGCTTGCCAGTCATTTATCCGTCTTAAGAAAGGAATTTTTCGCGTTTGTCGTCGGTCCGCAGTACTAATGCTAACCAGGTTGATTGAATGTTTAAAACCATCTTAGTACTTAATTGCGTGGTAAACGTTAAATTGCAGTGTCGTCTTCACATTCAACAGATTGGTCGGGTAACCACAAATAGTGATCGAATACCCTTCACTTTTGCAAACACCCGTGCATTTTTGATGGGAAGCGCTAATTACTGAGCCACAATTAAATGGTGGCGCACGCGGCTCACCCCATTCACCATAACAGAGTGCACACTTATGGTGATGGAAATTCGAAAGTAAATCACCCATTACATTTCAATTTGAAACGATTTTCTGCCGGTCGTTCTTTCGCTAACGGATCTCTTGAAAATGAGTTTGGGACCAGGTTAGTTCGGGACATGACGACTTGATTGAACATTTCGATCCAAAATAACCACTTAGATCCAAAAGCGCAAATCGATAAGTTCTACCATTGGACTAATCAAACTTTTTAGGTATACCAAAGAGTTACGGAATGGCAAAGAAGGCTTACGCTAAGTACAGATTTTTATTCCTAAGATTTTGACCGATTTACATGAGAATTTGCTTTAATGAAAGGTTTAAAATCATTAAAAAGTTTAAGTTTGCAAATATGCAGGCTAATATTTGTTTTATGATGAAAAACCAAACTTCCTGATTGTATTTAAAGTGTATTCAAAGGTTAAGTGAATAATGCCAGTATTACAAGCCTTGTTTATATACATTGAACTATCAAATACATATTCAAAGAGGTTGACAATTTCAACTGTGTTTTGACAGCAATGTTCGGTCACATATGCTTGCAATATCAATAAATACTTCGGTTTTTAAAATACGTTGACTCACTTTTAAGACTCCTAGAAGCATAAACGCATATGGAAGCTTTGAATGCCACCAAAAGACAATAGGTGCTGGTCAAGTGATTAATTCGGTTGGAAACAAGATCTAGTCTACGATAAACGTACACGTTTTCAATGAACAGGTTGGTGAATCTTGGAGTTCTATGCATTCGATGTCAGTGCTTAAAACCTGTAAGTAGAAGCCACTGAAGTAATTCCGTGCCAAAAATCGACTTTTGTTTGATAAATATAATGGCCTAGATCTAATCACACTTTCATTAGTGTAAATTACAAATAAATGTAGCAAAATCTTGTTAATATTAAAGGATGTCATATCAGTATTGCAAATATTGATGTACATTTCTGACAAATGTAATAGGAATGCAATAAATTATGTTACATTTCTTTGACATTTGTGGTCCCATAAATAACTGAAAACTAGAAAAATATTAAATATTCTGCTCTCTGATTTCATCGTTGATCTGCCCAAAAGGTTTAAACATAAAATTACCCCCAAAAAACGTACGATTTACGGAGCTGGAAAGACATTTGTGCTGACTTGGTGGGTGTCATTTCTCAGCCTTGATGGTAAGGATTTTTCAATGCAGTTTCACGGACCGAAATAGCTGGAAATGTCCAGACTTTTGCCTTCGTTCATTCTGTTAAACCATTTCGCCAATGCGTAACAATCATAAAACCAGGTGATTGGAATGGACAAAATACTTTACATTGTATTTTAAATAACAGCAAGTAAAAGTCATCAGAACCTCAGTATAGTTTAAATATTTATTAACAAAATAAAATTTAGTTAATTTAAATAACTACTTGGAAAAGTTTGGGGCTCTAGTTCCAATGCCATTACCGTCTTGGTCTTAAATCACTTAAGTCCACAGCCTGAAATCGGGATTAAAATGTTGAATCTTTAGGCGGTTCTCAATGACAAACACATTTGTTTATTTGGATTTGAACGAAAATATCCGCAGTAGGGCACGAGAAGAATAAGTTGAATTTTGTCTAAAAGAATGCTTAAATATGGTCGTCGACAGCAATCAGAAAAAGATCACAGCTTTTAGTGAATCGTGTTATTTTCTCCAAACGGGTACAGCTGTATCCTCATTAAACTTTGACTGCAATCATGTACACCTGGCTATGAAATGTACGCAGTTTCGTGGTTTCGTGGCTAGGCTGGGTTACGTGCTCTACTTGTAGATTAAAATTAGTACCCTGACGAAACCTGCTGATTTTACGCACCCTGAAATGAATTTATAAGTTAATACTCAATTTTACTGCTGCACACTAGTCATTTGAGGCTAAAGTACTCTGCAAATATGTTTGGCTGGTGTTGAGGCAGGTTTTTACGGCAATATTCCACCTGCCATAGATGTTACGTGCAAAATATTACTAGTATTTGTTAAAATCAAACACATTGTTTTTTTCAGTGCGCAAGTCGATTCCAAAAAGCTTGACAAGGAAACGTCAGCGTTCCGGTAGTTTTAGACAGTCTTTCCAGTTATCCTCGCTGATGAACGTTCCGCGAACAGCAAAAACCGAATCTGGCAAGTTTTATATTCTTTTTATAAAGCGTTGATGCAAAACTGAGACAAACCAGCTTATCCCAGACTGGATATAGTTTTAACACGAAATATTAAAATGAAGCACAAACCGAACTGTTGCAAAGGAAATGTGCAACCTTCTTTTAGTTTATAGTTGTTGGGATTCTAGAAGATGTTTGGTGCCATCTACTTATTCCGACCGCCGTGACCATGCTAAAAAATTGGCACGTTTGATGAAGATACAAACTATGCCATGAAGTGCTTGGGTTGTGGAAATTATGAAAAACCACTGTTTCAGTTCCTTAATAATTAAAAACGGAAAAGTAAGGCACATTTGCCTGACCAAGTTGCCGAGGTCATTGAAAAGGAGCCCCTCGATGCAATACTTTTTACATACCGTCTACGCTTCTCCTTAGAGGATGTTTCGAAATTTTAATTATGTAGCTTGCAAATTACAATCATCAGTTGCTTACAAGAGATCAATCTAATAAATGGGTATCGTGCACAGTGTGAATTGCATATCGAATCAGTAATAATATTTCGCTGAAGTAGCGTTTGCAATCAAATGTTTCAGGTGTTAAGACAAGACATCTTTTGGCTATGTTTTAGTTCCTTTGCACTTAAGTCCATAGCTATAAAAGAATTATCATACAAAATGTTAACTCATTGGAGCCAATCTTTATTGTATGTTTTAACCTGATGATTTGTAGCCTTTAAAGTGACCGTTCCTTGAATGGAAATCATTCACCTTGTGTTGAGGCAATGGGGCTTTTATTATATACTAAGGTGATTTTTCAATAACTAGTTGTTGAACCGATTCAGAGATCTCCTAGTTTTACGATCGTGCAAAGCACGGGCAGAATGTTGCTGTGTTGGGGTTTTATCGTTGTCGCGCAAAGGTCATGCGCGAGAGGTGGTTGATGGTACTTTCGAATCCAATTTGTGTCCTTAGAAAGCAGGTCAAACCAAACATTATTAGTCTTTCTATCAGGAACTATTGGCTTCCAGAGCACGTGAAGCAGTCTTCCAAAATTACAAGTTAGAATATTCAATTTATGGTCGTCCTACTAACCCACTGACTTTATGCGAAAGTTGACACTTTTCTGTTTGCCCCGACGAAACCTGCTAACCCCAAAAACAGTTTGAATATTGAGTTTAGACATCTCTTAATGAATAATTCCATCTTTTGTGGTAGCAAGTGGTAGTAGGTCTCGATTGTGTGAAATAAAGCTCTTTGCTAACGCAATTGAGTAGACCTGTTTTTATAATGCTACACAATTAAAATTAATCCCCAAAGGCTGTTTAAGGGATAAAAATCAACCCGAGAATTTGAGGCATTTCTATACAAATATTTAACTTTGTTTTTCGTTGATAGTGGCCTGTTTTCACAGATCTTGTAGTGCCAAGGCTTGATGCTGAAACTACTTCTTTGCAGTGTCTCTGTAATGCCTTTACCAAATCATAGTTGTTACTTTTTCTAATCACCAATACCATCGTTGTAGCTTCTGCTGAACGAAGGCTCTCATTCCCTGGATCTTGCTCTTCCGCATGCTTGAACAACCTAGTAATTCCTGTCATATACGCTGGGACTTTTCACGTCTACTTATCCTAATAATGTTTAATTCAATATCTCTTAAAATGCCGTACTTTATCCTGCAAAGTGTTATTTTTCCTTAACTACTGTAGGTTATTAATTGGCCTTCGTCCAGGAAATATGTTTTGTGTTTTCTTTGCTTGGCATTTTGTCGGCTGCACTTCCCGAACCACACAAGTTGCCTTCTCGCTCAAGCATGTCCGATAAGCTGGGGCGCTGCCTTTTATGATCGGTGGTTTTTGTAAGAACATGAAAATGTCAAATTGTTGACATCATGGCTATTCAACTCATGACTTTGGAATGGACCATCAAAACGATGCCAAGCAAATGCGTTTTGGAGTTCCCTTCTGGAAAGTTTCCGTTTGTTCAATGAGGGGAATGTTTGAGGTTGACTTTGACATTTGCACCCCGCAAATAACCAACGCTTGACAGCAATTGGGCGTAGGTTGCACGCAGCACCAGTATGTTATGTCATTGACCTCTGGTACAGAAAACCGGTCGTAAACTGTTATATGGTGACAGCGTGCTGGCGAAATTGATCCTTGTCCTTGAAAATTCATCCTATGCCAAACTGGAGTGGACGATGCCTATTTTCGCTTAATTCGAACTGCGACGAACAAGCGGCTGCAGTTTGGACCAAAACCTATGATTAATACCTGAATGTAAATTTAGCCTGTTAGGTTTTTTATTTAAGTAATATTCAAATTATGGTTCAGTTTAATCATTTCAGCAAAAGACGAAGTGGCTATCTTGTAGATTGGCTTTTCAAGAGTGCGTGATACATACAAAGTTATGTTTCATCGAACAATTCACTTTATGTGAAAACTAAGGCAAGTTCTTTTACTTTTAACAGTTTCTCGAAATTTACCAAAAACGTTTGATAAAAATGACCCATAGAGGTGGTTGTACAACCTGCATGCCACACAACTCGAATCCGAATAACTCCAAAGTATAACTACGCGTGTATTGTTCACTACAAAGAGCACTGGCCCTTGATTCGGTCCATTTTCCCGATTTAGGTAGCCTACAATTTCACATTTCTGACGAGTTGTTCTTATTATCTTGAAAAAAGTGTGCAGTTTAAATACATTTCCCTTTATTGTATGAAAAAATGCAATTTCGATGCAACTGGTTTGCCTTGTTATCTATCCAACTTTTAAACCAAATGTACACCACAACTGGTCTAAGGCCAAGTTCTGTACCATGAATTTCTGTTCAGAATAGCTCAAGAAATAAAGCGATTCCACTGACACAAACCAAAAATAACATCTATATCAGCAACTGCTTCCAGGCAATGCAATCTAAGTGTATTTTAATCCTGGAGAAGGTAGTGCAAAGCCAGAGGTCAGTGAAACCGAAGCTTCGAAATTATGGTTAAAGGGTAGGGCGCGCTATCAAACAAGCCTTAATGCTTAACCAAGGCGAAAACACCAATCAATAATATTTTCTCAAACCTGACCAGCCGTTTGCGCAGCACTGCACACAATTGTATACAACTTATGTGCCTAAGTACTGAATTAGCCAATTCTAGATTTACTTAGGTTTTGGCCACACTTTCTTCACCCTAGATCTCATTCGTTTGCTCGTCATTTTAAATCAGCATAACTTCCCCGCTGCAAGTTATGCTGGCGCTTATGTAATCGTTAGTACTACTGAAAAATTCCGGTGTTATGAAAAAGGATGTTTTGTTAATGCATCCTTAAAAATTAGCAAAGTTGAACTATATTATGTGCGTAATTTGTCTCGCAGCCACGTACGATCTTATATTCTGCCGAGTAGTGCCACATTTAATTACTCGTCACTACGTTTTAGGTAGAGATTCTTGTGGGTCTGGGCATACTCGAATTCCAAAAAAATTCTAGTTTTAAAACTGGTTTTGGGCCACTGAAGTGCTATTAACCAATTCCTTTAATTACGTAAATTAAGAAACCTATTTCATTAAGTGAAATCCAGACTTTTCAAGCCGGTTGGATTTTGGTTTACTCAACCGCCTATTGCTAAAATATGTGTTAATTTAGGGCTGCGTCGCATGTCCTCTCGTGCAAGTACCTCAGGTGGTGAATGCCAAGGCAGTGGTGGCCGTGATTCAAGCCAAGATGATGGTTCCACTGCCTATGCTAACCACGGAAGTCGCCATATTCAACTCCCAAATCTCCGCCCAGATGCTCCTACTATATATGGACGACGATCCGACAGCGGAGAAGGCCTGGGAGTTGGGGATTTTGATGGGGACGTCGAGCTAAATAAAAGATCACCGAGACGAGACAGACGGCGCACTTCTTTGGGTGCAGGTCGTGAGCCTTCTCGTTCTTCCTCATCCCGCACGCACATTCAGGCTCCGGTTGCAGATGTGTATTCTTCGAATATGCCTTGGATGCCTGCCGTTATTGCTTTTGCAAAGAAGTTAGTTGATTTTTTTATTTTCAGCTAGATCCAAACTTCTAATCCAACATTTTAATGAGATATCGCATTGCTCACTTACAGTTATAACTGCAAATTAATAACCAAGATAAAGCGCTGTGACTTATAATTTGAGCGGCATCTTTTACTTTATCCAAATTTTTGTTAATTATAACAATTATAACTTGATGATTTTAAGAGATTCCCTAAAATGAACTAAAATGTGCTGATAGTCGGTGAGTGACGAAGTGAAGCAAATAAACATTCAAAGACCACTACGCTGGCGTAATACAAAGTTCAATTTCTCCAAATCCATTGATTAAGTAGCATATTTCATGTACTGACTCGTGTCCTCTGTCTTCTTCATCAAGATTTGGTGAAAAATGCTTTATGGTGAGACTTTTCCTAACTTGTTCGTATGAATTAAAAAACACTAGGCATTGGCCTTACTTTCTGTTTGCCTTTTCTCAGCAGTAGGGTGTTGGCATTGCTTATGTAGCTTATCACAAAGAGTATTGGTTATCAAAGTTACATATTAGTAAAAAAAATATGAAAACAACTAAAAATTATAATGCTTCAAACTTACTTAACCCATTTTACAACCAAGCAGCCAATGGGTTTCCTAATAGACTGCTCATCAATAAAGACTCGTTATCTTAACGCACTGATTACATTTTGTGGTCTACATAATTCCGATGGAAAATTCATAGACTAGACTAGTCGGTACTTTGTGTAAAAAATCATGAGTTTTTGATGCGGTGCTTTAGATGGGAATATGCGGCATACTTCCTCAAAGAAACTTTGTACTAATATGGGATGACGTGAGTCTCTGTCATAAAGCTTTAACTCCTTGTATTTATCAAAGGACTAATTTTGACTGCAAACACCAACCTTTCTGCGAGCCCAACTGCTTTGACCGCCAGCAACAGCAACTTAGATCACTTGTTCAGGCCATCCGTCAGGTTTACTCAGCGCCAAATGAGTCGAGTTTCATTCGCTCGGTGGACGAACTGCCCGAGGGTCGTCGCGTTCGGCGAGTTGTGGGAGAAGCGAAACCACCCAGCGCGACCGACTCTCACCCTAGCAACGGTGGTCTCTCCTGCCAGTGTTCCTCAGACTCTTTCGGTGGGGGCGTCGGTGGCGGTTGGAACGAGGAGGAGTTTGCTTTCTCTGACGAAGAAAATGGAGCAGCCAAGGAAGGTGAAGGGGGAGATGAACTTGAAGAGCATTTTCGGTTTACTCCACTCCTACGTGGAGGTGGGTTAGGTGCTGCGGATTTGGCAAATGGCTTCAATGTCGGTGGTGGTGGTGGTGGTGGTGTTATTACTGATCCAGAGTTGGAAACTTCGGCGTCAATTTTACATCGGGTTTTTGGTGGTGGCGATTCCTTGGACAAAAAGAACACACTGTTTTCCAGAACAGCCAAGCGAAAGGTTCTTTTTTTCTTTTTTTTTCTAAATCATGTTTGCCACTGAATTAAACCCTTGATGCAACTGAATTAAAACCATTAATTAGGCCATGTTCGGTACCGGTGCAAGACTTGCAAAGATTGTCTTGTAAGTTATTACTCTAACAGGTCTGCTTAAATAAGGGAAAGCAGTCAACAACAATGTCTGAATATTTAACTAAATGAGTTGTTCTGCCACGTAACCCCAAAATAAACAAAGTGAACGAGGTTTCGTAGACTGGACAGCAATCCTACAAGATTGTTCGCAAAATCTGTTTCGCACTGATCACATTTTTCAGGAAAAAAATCATTAGTGGTGTATTCAGTTGATTATTCGAGTTATGAACGAGTAATTTAAAGGCCTTTTCTATGAGAGATTGCTAAGCATAATTTAGTTTTTATATTGTCAACCTGAATGCATATTTACACAATCCAAGCCTGCTTTTGTTCTCCTTCCATTCTATGTCGTTAGTAAAGAATCAAAACCCCTGTTTACAATCTTCTTGTGTGCTTCTAGAACCTCACAGTGAGAATAGCTGTTGAACCGACCAAATTCGAGAGTCCTTTGAGAGTCGATTGTAACCCGACGCTTAAATCCTGTTCTAAATTTGCTAAAGGCGAGGTATGTTGCACCTGCTTGCATGGGTACGGGTAGGTGATTTGTGGGCATGGTTAAGTTAAAGCTCGTCAAATTACAATGACAATTTGGTATTTTTAATCGGCGACTTGCATGCTCTCGTGGGCGCATTGTGCACGTAGGGTTGAAAATCAATCTGCCTGAAGTTGCTAGTTATGCTGCACAAAGTTTTATTGTGTCAAAAAGCCAGCATGTCTTGCAATATTGCTCGGATTTAAGACTTATTTCACTGACAATTAGGTGCTTGGGCTAGTGTGATTCTTGTAACCTAGTTCATTGTTAGTAAACGACATTTAAATTCAACTTCCGAAAAAGTATTTGCGGTTTTACTGCAATTTTTTGCATATTTTATGTCTTTTTTACAAAACCCTTAGAAGAAGAAAGCCATTTTAATTATCTTCAATGGGTACTTTTGCCATTCGTCGAAGTTAAAATTAATATGGTGCAATTCCTTTTCCTGTTGCTATGCAGGAATCTACAGCTGCTTTGTCGAGTTGGCGTGAGGCCACTACGCCAATTTTCGACCGCTTTCGTCGAAAAGGAACCCCCAAACGTGGTGCACTCTCTTCAGCTGGTGCCTCTGACGAGGGAGGTGGCTTCAGCGGTCCCGGAGCGCTCTCCAGTCTGATGAATTTGAGCCTTCTAGCTGGTGCGGGAATGGGCCTCACAGCTGCCAATTCCTCGCCTTCGTTGGCTCGACTCCTGGAAGTTGTAAAGGGTGGAATGACGTCTGGAGTTATGACTTCAATCGAAGGCGAGGAAGCGCAGTCTGATGAAGGGGAACAGGGAAAAACCAAGATTCGTCCCCAAGTTCACCAAACAGATT